AGCAGCAATTTGAGGAGAAGGCAAATAACTGGCTGGTAATAGTTCGGAAAACTTGCTAATATAAATCCTCTGGTACCTCCAGGTTCCAGGCTGACCAGGGTCTCAAGCTGTTCTTTAACTTTTGTTCTCTTTGGTGAGAGCTTTTGTCTGTGTCAATCCATGTCCTGGTTTAGGCAACAGAGGGAGGGCAGAAGGCTGTCCTGTGCTCTTTTCTTCTGAATTGTCCTCAGCTCATAACCCTTCATGTTTTAGGGAAGCATATTCTGGTCTTCCACATGGGCAAACTTTGGGCTCCTTGGAGCTGCAGAAGGCTAGCCTCTACCTTCATTGTCTTATCACATTCTCCCTGCGTATTGGTCTGCACAGGGCTGTCTTCTTATAAGGTCATCAGTCATATTGGAATAGGGGCCCACCCTACTGCAAAAAGACCTCATCTCAACAAATTACATCGACAGTAATCTTGTAGCCACATAAGGTCCCATCTGTGGTGCTGTTAGTTAGGACTTCACCATATCTCTTTTAGGAGGAAGCAGTTCAGCTCATACCACCTTCCTCACTTGACTGTATTTCATTTTGAGGTGTCTTACAGTAAATTTTCTTTGGTTTTGAAGACAACTTCATGCTTGAAGAATTGAACAAGAACTCTTATATTTTCCAAGTTTTGATTGCTTTATTTTTGTCATCTATTCCACCTTGTATCATAAAATTTCACGACCCAACAGTACCCTGACATTGAGCAGAGAGTGGTCATTTCTCCGTGGCTCTTTGAGAACTCTGGAGTCCTGTAGTTTTATCAGAGACTTTGATTTGAAGCCTTAATTTTTGAATCTGGCCTTTATAGAGTTTTATGACGTGGGGGTGATATGGTTTTTGCCTCACCTTCAAAATGTACCTTGCAGTTGCTGCTATTCTTGCTCTGAAGCATTTGGTTGTAAATATATTTTATGTCAACAGAGTTGGCACCTTCCATTTTTCTCTTTTATTCATTCTTCTGAATATAAATGTTTAACTTCTTGCAAACCCAGTACACATGGCATGAAGAAATGATACAATAGTGTTTTGTAAGTCAAGGACAGATTGACCTCTTAGCAGCAGACAGTTCCCCAGGGCCAGTTTGAACACATTGATGGCTTTATGCCATCATGTCCTGTGGCTGACCTCCAACAAATAGTTTAAGAAGATCAGGGAAAGTTATATCTGTAAGAAGAAGGTGGTTCATATGAGATGCAGTCTGGTCTAGTAACTAGAAGCAAAAACTATTGGGACAGACCACTTACTGACTGTGAACTTGGATAAGTTTCTTAAGCATCAATTTCATCATCTGTGAATAGGATTTATTGTATCTACTTTATGTTTATTGTGGGGATTGTATGAGCTAATACAAAAAATGTGCTTAGCCCAGTTTTTGGCACATAGTGAGTATCAGCAATTGTTCTTACTATAAAGACATCCTACTGGGTGTGGTAGTGAAGACCTGTAATCCCTGCTACTGAAAAGGCTAAGGCAGGAGGATCAGAAGTTTAAGGCCAAGCCTCAGCATTTTAATGAGAGAGACTCTGTCTCAAAATAAAAAATAAAAGGGCTGGGGATATCTTTCAGTGGTAGAGCACCCCTGGATTCAATCCCAAGTGCAAAAACAAAACCAAAAACCCCTCCTATTTTTCTCCCACTTTTCAAAGCCACTCCTTCCTTTAATTTATTTTTCATCTGTCTTCAGGTCATTTTCCTTTTACGGACATCTGAAGACCAAGTTTGAGAAAAGGAAAGCAACAAAATGTGTTTAAGAGATGTGGATGGATATCTGATCAAACCTAATTTTTTTAAATTGCTTTTTCTAAGTATTCCCATGATGTCCTACACTAGTAATGACACTGTTGGAGTACTAGGGTTACTTTAAAGAATCTCAGCTTCCTATTGAGTAGGAATTTAAAAGGCAAGGCATTAACTTACAAAGAAGCAGGAAATGCAAACAGCTCTGTTTGGCTGTAAAAATGCCAACATTCCTGAAACAATGAGCTCATCATCAAATTCCTCCTCTTCCACACCCATGAAAGAATCCCCCTTGTTTGCTCAGTTAGTTTTGCTTTGGCTCTCTGGGCAGCTGACAATGAAATCAAGCAGTGGTTCTTAAAGGGCATTAGAATCATCTGGAGGGAGTGTAAAAACAGACTCAGTCCTACTGGGTGGCTGATTCAGTAACAGTGAGATAGTGCCTGAGAGTTTGTGCTTCTTATAAATTCCAGGTGGTTCTGATGGGGATGACCAGGAACCCTACTTTGAGAACTACTAAGATGGCCCTCCACTGCCTCCTCCCCTCCCAGGCAAGGTGATGTGGTGTAGAGCACAGGGCATTTTAGTTATAAGGAGGTGGGTTTAAATTCTGAGGCTATCCTTATTAGCAGAATTCTGTTCAGCACATCATCGCTTCAAGATGATTTCTTCTATTTAAATAAAATCTATCCCATTATGGTCACTGTAAAAGTTAAATCAGATGTTGTAAAGCACTTCATTCATTGTCTGGCATGTATTAGAATAAAAATTTCCATTCATTTCTTCTATGGTAACTTTTTTTTGCAAGTCATAAACATTTGCAAGTCATAAACATGGATCATATGGGCAACCAAGTCTACCAAATGAACACTGTAGTACTGTTTATTGAGAGAACTGAAATAGTTTTAAATAATACTTCCCAGTTCCCTTGGCCTGCACTGGGTGGATGCAGCTCAGTGGTCGAGAATTTGCCTATTATAGATGAGGCTCTTGGTTTGATTCCTCACACCAAAAAGTAAATAAGTAATAAAATCCCAATTCTCCTTTTCAAGTTGGGGTATGTGTGTGTAGATTTTTTTTTCTTTTAACCAGACAAGTTTTTTTCCCCATTTAATTCTCATTATATAGAAAGTTGCATAATAGATTAGGAATTTCATCCTCCTCTAAATTTGCACATTATAATTTTAACATATTTTGATGCGTAGGTGGTAGAGGGCAGTGAAAAGGTCATGGCTAGAATGCCAACCCTGAGTTTTCAGAATGCATAAACAATTAGGATCTAAACACAATTTTGTCTTCTTGTAAGCAACCATGTAAATATCCATGAGGCACAGAATCAGGGGAGCTTCTTAAACATTTAGTCCTTTTCACCCTATCTCTAAAACTATGATTCACTATATCTAGGGACCAGGTCACATGCATTTTAAAGTATCACACCAGTGTAGAGACTGTATTTCAAAAAACACCAGGAATAGATAGAATAGTCTAGAAGGCATTCAGATTCAGATTCTATTTCTTAACTGGCTGTGTGGACTTGAGCAAATTCTCCAATCTTCTTACATGTTGGTGCCATATGTATGAAATGGCTCACCCTTATGTACCAGCGCCTCATGTATGATAGGCAGACGCTCTACCACTGAGCTACACCCACCCAGTGCAGGCCATGGGAACTGGGAAGTAGAATTCTAGTGAATTATTTAAAACTGTTTCAGTTATCTCAATAAACAGTACTACAGTGTTCACTTGGTAGATTTGGTTGCCCAGATGATCCAGAAATGTTTATATGACTCGCAAAAAATCTTACCATAGAAGAAATGAATGGGGTTTTTAAATTTAATACATGCCAGGCAGTTAACATATAAAGGACCTAGGACCGTGCTGGGCATGACACATGCCAATGCTCAAATGGTGGTTCTTCTAAAATGCCAGACGTGTAAGGGGAACGGATAGGAGAAACACAGACATTCATAGGTGGATAGAAATGAAATGAAGCCAGTGGATGATGCAAATCTATAAGCTGGGGAAAGAATTCTCTGAAGAGAATCCATTAAAGTGACTGATTTCTTACAAGTGCCTTCAGATCTGGCACAATCACAACTGGCTTCTCACTTGTTATAATTATTATTTTTTTAGATTCAAACTCTTTATTTTGGGGTGCCTTAATATTAAACAGTGTTTGACTGTGATGAAGCAAATTATTCAGTCTGTTCTTTTGAATCAATAGACTATCATTTTTTTTACGATGCTAGAACATTAATTTTCCATTCACTTTAATGTGACAAGATAATGTCCTTTCATGAAAATATTAAACACTTCAGAAGAGTGTAAATGAAGCTATATTAATACAAGACATCAGAGCCAATATTAGTAACAGGATAGGAAAATGCTCTTTAAAAAGAAAATGTAATTACTATAAAGATAGGTTTTATAAAGATAGGTTTTTATTCTAAGAGTTAGTATATACCATGTTAGAAGTACATGTTCACTTTGATTTTTTTTCTCAATGTCTTTGTGGCTGTCCTTCTTTTGTCTTTTAAGCAGTTTTAGAATATTTTATTCTTTCAGTAGTACGTCTTTCCTGGCTTACTGACATGTTTCTAATTTATGTGCTTAAAATTGTTCGTGTGGTATTTTTTATTTCTATGCTATTCCTGAAGATCTATGATGTCAATGGAGCTTTTAGAAGGGAATTTATCAGCCACAATTGCACATCCATTAAACAAAGCTTAAGAACAGACAATCCTAATAGGGTTTCCATTTATGGATCCTTTAGTGTAGGGTTCCCCAAGGACAATGGTCAACATTAATTAAAACGTCTTGAAGTCTGTAAACCACAATTACTTCTGGGTGAGATGCAGTGAAGAGCTTTGAATTATACTGAAAACAAAGAGGATGTAAGAAATTCCAGCTTTCTTGTTGTTTTTATGCAAATGCCACTTTAAAGCAAATATTCTTCAGAGTCACCAAGACTGACACAACATTGCTCTAGAGAAGCAATTTTTATATTTGTAATTTGTTACACAAGAGAAAAAGAGAGACCTCCTGTTGCATGTGGTAGAAATGATATTGCCTATATGTCTAGGGAGGGGAGACTTTCTTATGCCACTCCTGAAAATGGCAGGAAGGTGTGCAAGTTTGGGGGCTGTTACATGTGTCCCATATGCATATGAGAGTAATAAGAATAAAATGTTATTTTGAACTAGTGAGACTTTCAAATATTTACCTCCTAGGTTGGATCCCGAGGAACAATAAGAGATTATCCAGGCTTCAGCCCATCGGTGGATGCTGAAGCTATTCATAAGGCCATCAGAGGACTTGGTAAGTGATGCTGAAGATAATCAGGAAAGTTGCATTCTCAAAGTTCCCTAGTTCAGTTTGCCCACGTTGGTTTACTCAATTAGAGACATTGTCAAGGATTTTTAAAAGTAAAAAACAATGAGGATGCAGAGTGTGGTGGTGCATGCCTGTAATCCCAACCTCTCTGGAGGCTGAGGCAGGAGGATCACAAGTTCAAAGCCAGTCTCAGCAACAGCAAGGTGCTAAGCAACTCAGTGAGACCCTATCTCTGAATAAAATACAAAATAGGGCTGGGATGTGGCTCAGTGGTCGAGTGCCCCTGAGTTTAATCCCTGACCCCCCCTGCAAAAAAAAAAAAAAAAAAAAAAAGAGAGAGAGAGGAAAAGCATAGAGAACCTAGTTTTATTAACTATAACATCTGCCATGTTTATTTAATATTAAAAACTACTACCACCACTGCTGCTGCCCAGCCCATAACAATCATCATCATCATCATAAAGCATAGATAAAATCTCTGTCAATTTTTCCTAGATTTCATCCCCACCCCATTGCGTAAAGATAATTACCATCCAAAATTACAGTTTATTTCCATGAAACTTTCAATGCCATATTATGTATGTATGTACATACTATTTTATATGGAGTTAAGCAGTAAAAAATGAAATTATAATATATATTTTTCTGCAATTTGTTTTTATCCCTTTAAAACAATGTTTTTGAGATTTATCCTCATCGATATGTTTAGCTCTAGTTCATTAATTTTAACTGCATAGTAGTCTATTCTGTGTTGCATCATAAAATGGGAATATTGATAGAACATTTAAATTGCCTATAATTCTTTTCTATTACAGTATAAAAATACTGTGCAATGACTATTCCTGCTTATGTTTCATCACAACATTTGCTAGCATTTCTCTAGACTATGACAAGGATTGGAATTTCCAGGTGGAAGGGGATGCTTATTTTCAGATTAACCAGAAATTTTGCCAAACTGCTCTCCTAACTGAATACAGAAATTAGCATCAATTCCAGAACTGTATGAGACTTCCTTTTACTCCATATTCTCACAAATACTGTAGTACTATGCTGTTTCTCTGATTGACTGGATCTAAAATTGTATGTTATTCTATGTGTGTTTGTTTCCTCTCATCTCTATGTAGATATAAGATTACTGATGCACTTAGCTTCCTTTCTTATTTATTTGCATCCTCTATCATGCAATACTTATTCATCTTCTTCAGATATTTTATCCTTTCTTTTCAGCGGGAATGTCTTCTTCATGAATGGCAAGAGATTTTTAAATTATAATTTCTGGATACAAAGCCTATTTCAAATTTAAAAACATGGAAATATCTTCTCATCTATAGCTTTCTGTTAATGTGGGTTATAGTAACTTATATTGCATTAAGCTTTACATTTTTGTAAAATCAAGTCTGTCGATATTTTTCCTCTCAGATTTATGCTTGCTTTATCTTTTGTATAATTAGGTCATAAATATATTCCCCTGAATTTTACCCAAAGCTTTAAAATTGTTTTTATACTGTGATCTTATAATCTATATGGAGCTAATATCTGCAGTTAATGATTAAAAGAATCTAATGTTATTTTATCTCATATGGATGTTTGTCTCAGCACAATTTACTGGAAAGCTTATCCTTTCCACTCTGATTTGTGTTGCCACTCTATTTTATGTTTCCTTGTTTTTTTGTTCTTAAGCAGCAAATCCATTTGTCTATTTACCTCTCCTGGATCCAATACCACCTTGTCACAATTATAATTTTATAATGATGCTTGGTGTTTAGCAGGGCAAGGGGTTTATTTATTTATTTACTTGTCTCTTTGAATGTTAGGATCATCTGTATAATTTTTTTTAGTTGTTGATGGACTTTTATTTTATTTACTTGTTTATATGCAGTGCTGAGAATCGAATCCAGTGCCTCATACATGCAAGGCTAGTGCCCTACCACTGAGCTACAACTCCAGCCCCTGGGCTGTATAATTTCATGAAATATATGAGTAGGACTTTATGTTAGTATAGTTTTATTTTATTTCTGACTAGATTCTTGTTTTTTCCCATTTTTAAATGAGAGCCTTTCTTCACATATCTCTTTGATTTCCCTACTCATCATACCCAGTGTTGCATAGACTGCTCCGTGATGTAGTGTCAAACTAAATGCATTCATGATCTTTAAAATCTGTTACTTGTCTTTCTTAACATTGTTTCTTCATGAGTTTTTGCATTTTGGCCTGAAGGCCCAGATGGAGGTTTTGTTTGTAAGCATCATCTCTGAAATGTTCTGTATCTAGAACCCAGCATCACAATGTCATTTGCATTAGAAATATGTCAAATGCAGTCTGTGGACTGGGATGGAGCTTGATATTGTTACTGGTCTTGAGCATGCACAGACATAAAAAGATGAGAAACTCCCAGACATACAAATTACATGGGGGTCAAATGAGGAAGCTATTTAAGTTATCTAGTTAAATTAGACACATAGCAGAGGCATGTGGAGGAAAGGACAAATTACAGAGATGCAAATACTTGCTACAATATATGGAATAAGGAAAAGAAAGGAACCTAGGATGATTGCCAGGATTTTTTGTCGGATGCTGATATCCACAGTTGTATTATTGATGAGGAACATAGAATAAAAGGAGAGTTAGAGAGGAAATACAAAGACTTCCACCTGGCCCATGCTGAGATTGAGATAATGTGCAGTGGGAAGTATCTAGTTGTATAATGACACAGATGCTGTAAAAGGTCAAGTTGTCCATCAGATTCAAAGAGTGTAGTAGGCTTTAATCCAATTCTCTGTACTTAACAATATAGAAAAATACAATATCAAAGGTACAGAAAGGTAGTATCTTCCTTTGGGAGACCCACCAGATCATCAAATGCACACATCCTTTTGCTCCCTCATTGAGGAAGGTGTGTACCACTGTCATGGACATGTGTAGACAAGGTGTGTATTAGTCACCTCAACACAGAGAATTTGAGTCTGCAGTTACAGTTGATCTTTATTGCATTCTTGTCATGCATACCCAAGGCCTTCAAGCCAATTTACCAACTCACAGCTTCTCCACCTAGCTGTAGCTCACGTAATGATCTTAATTCTACACTATCAGGAAGGCCAGCCTTAGCCCTGGCCTCATGTTATCCTTGACTTAACAAACAATTGGTTAAGTATATGGGTATGGCATGAGTGAGAGAGGTGTAAACCAGAGATAGAAATACATGTTTGGGGTCTTGCTGCATCACTTACGAACTATGTACTTTGGCAAGTGAATTAAGCTCTCGAAGTGTTAATGTCTTTATCATTAGGACAGCTTAGTCCTACCTACTGTACAGGACCCGTGTGACTGTCATCTGAAATAGGGAATAAAAAGGTGCCTGGTACATGGTAGGTTCTCAGTAAATGTCAGTTCCTGTTGTCTAGGGGAGAAATACCTTGATGTCAAGTATGGGGATGAGAGTGGTAAGACAATTATTGAACCTCATAAGGGTGAAGCTGAAGGTTCTTTGTGCTCTTCCCTCTGTCTCATCTAAGGAAGGGAGAAGACAATAACTGACAATATTTGCTTTCTTCCCCCAAAACTATCCAAATAAACTTTACCTTCTTTTCCAAAAGCCAGGCAAACAAGCAGAGAAATAAAAATTTGGACCTCATAGGCAGCTGGAAACTAAAATGCCTTACTCTCTGCATTTGTTTCAGCCTATTGATCATTTTCTTTTGCTCAGGACAGATATTGAGCATCTTTGGGTTGATGGTGAGTAAAATACTTTTGTTTCCTTTAGGAACGGATGAGAAGACACTCATCAGTATTCTGACTGAGAGGTCAAAGGCACAGCGGCAGCTGATTGCTAAGGAATATCAAGCAGCATATGGAAAGGTACAATTAGATTCCCACACTGGCAGTGAAGAGGGATGATCACTGCTCCACCACAGTTGTTCCCTCAAGACGGTGCCCTCAGATCTTTTGTTCCAGGCCGATTGTAGTAGGCGTGCCCTGGGCATCCAGCCAATAACCTGGGATCTATGTCCTGGTTTTGCTTTTAACTGGTTGAACCTAGTGTCCAAGTCCCCAGTTTTGGATTAGGCTTCAATTTCTTCACCTATAGAATAAAGAGGGTCACCTTGGATCAGACATTCTAAGCCAGGAGTGATTTTGTTTCCCATAGGACACTTAATGGGAATGGAAGCTTTTGATTACCACATATGGGATGGGAGGGGTGGTTTTAGTTTTTAGTGGACAGAAGTCAGGGGTGCTGCTAAATATCCTCCAGTACATAAAACAGCTCCCCATAACAATTGACCAACGAGCTGACAAATCCTGGCTTAGATTCTTTAAATTCTCTTCTTATTCTAAAATATCTATGTAACTGTAGGCTTAATTCCTTCAGAAAATGACAACTTGCCAAATTCTAGAAACCACATAAGGAGAAGTGAGACCTTGGTCTTTGCTACACGGTTTATTTTTTCATCACCTGTTGAATATTGCTCTGTGTCAGGAGATACCTTAGACATTGGGGATACACTGGCACAGACAGCAGATGCTTCCTTTCTTCCCCCAAAACTATCCAAATAAAGTTTACCTTCTTTTCCAAAAGCCAGACAAACAAACAGAGAAATAAAAATTAATAAATGATTAACTAAAGTAAGTTCAGACATTGGTGCTATGAAAAAATAAAGATGGGGTGATATGATGGAGGGCGACTGGTGACAGTAGGATGGTGAGGAAATGTCAGTGAGGGGTTGCCAACTTGCTCTCAACTAAGACTAAGCAATACTAAGATTCTGCCCTGCTGTGGAAAAGCATCTCGGGGAGAGGGTATAGTAAATGCAAAATCCCTGAAGCAGAAACAAACTGGGAAAACTGCAGAAACAAAGAGTTCCAGTATGGCAGGAATGCAGAATTGAATAGAAGAAAGAGATGAGCTGGAAAGAGGCTGAAACTGCTGGGCTTTGGGTTTTCTTTCTTTAAAAATTTTTAATTGGTTTTTAAAAAATAAATGACAGCAGAATGCATGACAACTCTTATTACACATATACAGCCCAATTTTCCATATCTCTGTTTATATTCTATATAAAGTATATTCACACCAATTTGTGTCTTCATACATGTACTTTGGATAATGATATCCATCACATTCCACCATCCTTGCTAATCCCTGCCCCCTCCCTTCCCCTCCCACCCCTCTGCCTTATTCCTCCCACGCTCCCACTCTTAACCCCACTATGAATCAGCCTCCTTATATCAGAGAAAACATTCGGCATTTGTTTTTTTGGGATTGGCTAACTTCACTTAGCATTATCTTCTCCAGCACCATCCATTTACCTACAAATGCCATGATTTTGTTCTCTTTTATTGCTGAGTAATATTCCATTGTATATATATATATACATATATATATATATATGCCACATTTTTTTTTTATCCATTCATCTACTGAAGGGCATCTAGGTTGGTTCCACAGTTTATCTATTGTGAATTGTGCTGCTATAAACATTGATGTGGCTGTGTTTTCTTATTTTGTTGGTTTGTTTGTTTGTTTATGAGAAGGGGTCTTACTGTGTTACCCAGGCTGGTTCAAGTGATCCTGCTACCTTGACCTCCCAATAGCTAGGACTGCAGGTGCCTGTCAACTAAACCTTTTTATTTTCCTATGTTGTCCAGGCTTGGGCCTTGGGTCTTGGTACAGAGTTTACATTTTATTCTAAGGACAAAAGGGAACAATTGGAAGTTCATAAGCAAAGGAATGTTAGAATCCATTTTTTATTTTTAAAAGGTTGTTTTGTCTTCTGCAGTAATGAACTGTGAAAAGGAAAGTGTGGAAACAGAGAAAGTCAGGGTATGGAGAAAGTCTAGTGATCATCCAAAGCTAGCTCAGGCATCATCTCCTGAGATAGTCTACAGGCCCCCAGACATTAAAACTCCTTCTCAGAGGTCCCTTTATCAGATGCTTAAGGCATTATAATGAAATTTTATCTTTGACGAGCATAATATCTTAGGGATAAGGGTTTTATTTCACCTTTAAATGCACAGCATAGAGCAAGTGCCTGTAAACATGCATTGAATTGAATAGATTGAAAGCATCTGGGAAAGGCAGTACTTTCATATATAGGGAACATGAATGATCCGTTGATCTTTCATTATTTCCAAATATGGAGGGAGATTGGAGGCAAGGGTAACAGCTATTTCTCACAGTGGAATAGAATGCAAGCATGTGAGAAAAGTTTCAGTTCCAAAGTCCTGAGTTGAGGCATATGGTAGCATAACTTAGCATTTAATGAAGAAAAACCCTGTTGCAATTAAAGCAGAGCAGATGACCTTTGGCTCCATTTGTTCCAGCAGGAGCATGGTTCTGCTTTGTGCCTCTGGTGGTGTGGTTGTGTGGTTCTGCATCATCATAATAGTCCGGGAGGCTGCCAGCCTCTGTGTCAGACCTAAAAACAATCAGGAGCAGAAAAATTTTTTTTTTCTGTATCACTCCTTTGAATCATGGAAGTAGAAAACATGTTACTTTCCTTTAGGCAAGGGAGATGTACTGTACTTATGTAATGTGTGAAAACAGGGCCAAAGGATGATATCAATAAGTAATGTCCACTCCATGGCCATACAGGACTTCCCTTGCTATCGTTACCAGGAAAGGGCTTCTGCTGTCTCCCAGTTCACACCTTCACCAGAGGCAAATGACCAACCACTGTCCTCCCTTCCCCTTTGCCTTTGGAGCTTGTTGGAGTCACAGAGAAGAAAGGCACCTAGGAATAAAGCACCTACCAGTGAAGCTGGGTGTGAATTTTAAGGCTCTTCCTCCTCCTCTTCTCTTATCCCATCTCAAGTATTGAGAGCCTCAAGGACCCAGAAATACATATTTTAAGTATTTTAATTGTGCATTTGTGCATATTTGTAGGGGAGAGTATGATAATTCAATACATATATGCAGCACGTAATGATCAATCCAAGTAGGTACAGGAAATGCATTTTAATATATGATTTCTAACTGTGGCTCACACAAAAGTCCTCTATAAAACAAAACACTTTGGAAGCAATCATAAAATGCAGATTAATATCCATAGAAACACTTCCAGCATTTCTGTTTTGTTCCCTGTGTGTTGGCATGTTTTCATCGGATTTTGATACTTACGTTCATCTTTTACTAGTTGACTTTAGAAAAAAAGTGTTTCACAATTCCTTCCTTGATTTTTTTTTTCTTTTTTTAGGAGCTGAAAGATGACTTGAAGGGTGATCTCTCTGGCCACTTCAAGCATCTCATGGTGGCTCTTGTGACTCCACCAGCAGTGTTTGATGCAAAGCAGCTAAAGAAATCCATGAAGGTATGAGCTCCACACAAGCGAATTCTGTGCAGGATTTGACTATGTTATCAAAAATACTGCCAGGTACAGTGGTATACACCTGTATTCCCAGCAGCTTGGGAGTCTGAGGCAGGAAAATTGTGAGTTCAAAGCCATCTTCAACAAAAGTGAGGCGCTAAGCAACTCAGTGAGACCCTGTCTCTAAATAAAATACAAAATAGGGCTGGGGATGTGACTCAATGATGGAGTGCCCCTGAGTTCAATCGCTGGTACCTGCCACCCACCCGCCAAATAGTGAGCTGTCTTCATTGCACGATTGAGTCTTGGGTGGACTTCATTGGTGTTCTGGTTGTGCTCCTTAAGTGGTGGGATGACTCTAAAATAGGGGGCAGTTGTGGAACCCAAGTGTTCCTGGGCTGAAAGAATATTATCACATTCTTATTTTATTTGTTTTTGGACATGACCAAATTCTCTGGTTTGTTGGCTTTGAAAGTAAATAACACTATCATCAGCTCTATTGCTTAGGCCAAAATCCTTATACTGTGTTTGGACTCTTATTGTCCCTTACACTTAAGAGGTCCTGAATCTATCAGGAAGTCCATTAACTCTACTCCAAAGTCCACTGAAAATATCTGCATTTCTCTCAAAATCCACTACTGCCATTCTGTTGTAAGCACAGCATCTCTTGACTGTACCATCAGTATCCCAACTCGTCTCTTTGTTTCCATGTCCTCCCACTTTGAGTCCATTCTCCATAGAACAGCCAAAATTATTTTATAAAGTTATTTTAACATGAGATTATGCTACTCACCTGCATAAATCTCTAGTGGTTGCAAATACTTAAAATCTAATCTCTGAATGACCTTCATCATCCAACTTGTTTTGCTCCTGTCTGTTTCTGTGACTTTAAAAATTCTTTGTCAACTGGGGTTCCCCAGAGAAGCAGAATTGACTAGGCAGGACAGCTATTTTAAGAGATTTATTGTAAGGAATTGGCTACACAATTGTGGGACTGAATAGAAATGTCAGCGCACGCTGACACAGCAGAACCTCTTGTTCAGAGAAGTCTCATCTGGGCTCTTAAGGCCTCTCAACAGATTCTATCAGACTCACCTAGAAAGTCGAATATCTATCTAATATCTCCTCTGGTTAACATCAATCGATAACAGATTTTAGACTTCCAAAATGCCTTCACAGCAACACTTCGCTTCGATTAGTGTTCAATTGAATAATGGGAACCATAGCTTGGCCAATTTGGCACCTAAAACTGACCATTACACCTCCTCTTCTCTCCTCATTCAATAATGTAGCCCCAGTGGCCTTTTCTCTGCTTCTTCTTTTTTTAAAAAATATTTTTAGTTGTAGATGGACACAATAAATTTGTTTTATTTATTTATCTTTATGTGGTGCTAAGGATAGAACTTGGTTCCTCACACATGCAAGGCAAGCGCTCTACCACTGAGCTACAACCTCAGCCCTTTTCTCTGCTTCTTGAACATTATAAGCTAATTTCTATTCTGCAATTCATTTACATCATGCTCCTTCCATCTGCAATGCTTCTCCTCCAGATGTTTTCTACTCTTAACTCAGATTTCTTTTTATTATTATTTTAAAATTTTTATTTGCATTTATTTTATGCTGAATTTATTTCTGGTCTGTAAGTTTTGGTTTTTTCATTTTCTTCTGGGATATCTTTTTCTTCTGTGACCCTCCCCTTCTGATTTAGGAATAATTTATTTATTTTGAGTAAGGACCATCTCAGCTTGGCAAGGGGAGCAGATGTATGGGCTAATCCCACCACGAGCTTGGTAAGTGTGGTGCCCATCCTGGGTGCTTTGTTCACCTGGATGTATTCAATGACCAAGAAACTACACAAAAATGCCTAACCTTAGCAGCACTCTGAATTTTAAAGCATGCACAGCAAAAAATTTAGCACCCTTTTTGGGTCCCTGACTGAATAGCCCTACTATTAGACCTGGCACCCCTACAAACTCCATCATTATAATGTCAGCATAGCACACATTGCAGTTGTTGTTGCTCCTCCTTTTAAAAAAATTGTTATTATTTTAATGGTTCTAGGGATTGAACCCAGGAGTGCACAGCCTTTAAAAAAAACTTTTATTTATTTATTTATTTATCTATCTATTTATTTGTTTATTTTTGGTGAGACAAAGTCTTGCTAAGTTTCCAGGATGGCCTCAAACTTTCAATTGTCCTGTCTTAGACTCCTGAATCACTGGATTATAGGCATGTGCCATCAGGCCTGGTACATACTACTTCTTCAAAGTGACATCTTTCAGATCTTGGTTGCTTTTCAGGTATATGCATACCCTTGGCCTGGACAGTTTCACAGATGGTCTTAAAGTAGACATGAAGTCTTGAACCTCTTGATTTGCAGGTTTCTGTGAGGTTTTCTGGGTCAAGTGAATAGCAAATATTTCATCGATCACCTCAAGTCATATACAGGAAAAGCCAGGGTTTGTTTGTTTGTTTGTTTGTTGTTGTTGTTTGTTTTGTTTTATTTCGGTACCAGAGATTGAACCCAGAGGTGCTTTACCACTGAGCCATATCCCCAGCCCTTTTTTAATTTTTTATTTTGAGACAGGGTCTCGCTAAATTGTTGAGGTTGGCTTTGAACTTGTGATCCTCCTGCCTCAGCCTCCCTATCCGTTGGGATTACAGGCAGGCACCATCACGCCTGGCCAGTGTTCTTTCTTTAATTGAACCTTTTGTTATTCAAAAGGCAAACCTGGGGCTGTGGTATAGCACAGTGGTAGAGCGCTTGCTTAGCATGTATGAGGCACTGGGTTCCATCCTCAGCACCACACAAAAACAAACAAATAAAATAAAGTTATTGTGCCCATCTACAACTAAAAATATTTAAAATATCAATATTTTAAAATAATTAAAAATATTTTTAAAATATTTACAATTAAAAATATTATGCCCATATACAACCAAAAAATTTAAGAAAAAGGATAATATTTTTTTAAAAAGACAAACCTCCCTCATGACAAGGAACCTCATCAGTCTTAGCCTGTATCTTCTGATCCTAGAATAGTCTAAAATGAAGTAGGTGCTTAACATGTTTATTGATAGGAAGGAAAGAAAAAGAAAAAAAGTTGTCCAGGTGTGAGACAGGCCATATTCTGCCCTCCCACCAAGGATAGGAGTTATTTTCTTTTCTGTGGAATAGGTTTGCTCATCTGAGAAGCAGATGGCAAATTGGAATTAGATGTAAAGAGATTTGTTGTGAGAAGACCTCTGGAGGACAAAGAGGAGACAGAGCAGGGGAGGTGGATGAACCTTCAGGCTGCAATGCGGGTCTGCCACCTGTGAAAAAAGAGATGGGAGAAAATAGGTTCAAATCAGAAGAACTTCAGTGAATGATGCAGCTCTGAGAGAGCTTGACAGGCCGATGGGGAGCACCTGAGCAAAGACTGCAAGAGTCCAAGGTTGGAGAGAAATGGCTCAGCTCCAGAACCTCTGCTCTGTTCAAGTCCTTGGTTAATTGCAGCATGGAACGAGCACAACATATTTTTGTGGGGGGGATGGAGGAGTACTGGGGATTGAACTCAAGGGCACTCAACCACTGAGCCACATCCCCAGCCCCATTTGTATTTTTATTTAGATACAAGGTCTCACTGAGTTGCTTAGTGCCTCACCATTGCTGAGGCTGGCTTTGAACCTGCGATCCTCCTGCCTCAGCCTCCCAAGCTCCTGGGATTACAGGCATGCACCACCGTGCCTACCTTTTTGAACTGGCAGATCCAAAGCTGTGGCAGTTGGAGGCTATTAGCCTACTACATTCTTTGCAGCAAACACTTGTTAAGAGAAGTGAAGCCATGTGTCTATATGACTACCACATGAAGAGAAGTTAGCAGGCATAATGGTAAGGAATAGATATACCAGGAAGTATTAGAAAAAGTTTATGTGAAAGATTCCAAAGTAAGCAGTTCAGAACTGAGTATTGTGGCACCACCATTATCAAATAGGACCCTGCCATCTCTAGGCTTTGCCATCTTCAGCTCGTGATTTCTACTTATTGCTTAAAGATTGCAACTCAAGATCCAGCCCTTGTATCTTCATCCCCATCAACTAAATAAGAAAGGAAAAAGAAGATTTCATTCCCTCCGAGGACATTCCCAATACATGGACATGATACTTGTATATACATCTGATTGGCCAGCATTTAATTATATAGATCAACTTTGCTGCAAAGGCAACTGAGAAATACAGCTTTTATTTGGATAGTTAGGGGCCAAATTAAATATTGGAGGATCTATTTCTAAGCAACAAAGACAAAAGAAGTTGGGGGCAACTAGGAATCCCTGCCCCAGAAGGACAGAGCTGTCTCTGCTCACATGTCTCATTGGCCCTGTTTGCTCAAGTATGATTGTAAATGGCTTCCCTTGGAATCACAGTGGGATTCAGTGACCTTGGTATAAATAAGGCTGAGGGGGTAACTAGTTTCTAAGCTGGTCAGACCCATGATACAGATTATTGAGGATGTGAAAACCTCCATGTGTGAAAAGAATGATACATGTTAATCCACCCAGCACAGGGGTGCAGTAATAAGCTCATTTAAAAGGCTTGCAGAGGCCTTTCAAAACACAGTGGCATGATTGAACACCCAGTGGGGTTAATCCTATTAGACTATCACTTCTGATCTTTAATGACACAGGCTTTTTCCTTTATATGCTTTCTTCCTAGAATTATTCAATTGATTTTTGCACTAGCCTAGGAAATTTTCTTGAAAAATTTGGTCAGTTTACTCCAGATGCCTCATATTATTTTAACACCAAAATGTAAGGAGAATTGAAAACTACTTTAGAGTAATATGAGATCTCATATTGATTTACCCAAAAGTATTCTTTCGTCTGTATAAAATAAGATATTTAGACTGAAAAGCATGAAAATTGAGTTTTTTAAGTGTTCTAAAAATTAGATTTCCGTTGGCTTTTTAGGGTGCTGGAACAAATGAAGATGCCTTGATTGAAATTCTAACTACCAGGACAAGCAGGCAAATGAAAGAGATCTCTCAAGCCTATTATACAGGTAATCCTGTTTTCTACTTACCTATACCACTGTTCACATATACAGGAGCCAAGGTGCTTTTACCATAATTCCACCAATTTCTTCACAAGGCATTTTGAGAAGGCAGGAGTTATAGAAAGGAGGGTACATCCAAAAATGTGTTGTGGATTTTTAGAAAACATTAGAATATGATATGAGCTAGAAACTGCTGCATAACAATGACATTAACATTTTACATTTATAATATTCCAGCTGCAGTGGAATTTGCTTTCAGCGATCACTTAATTGAATGAACCATTTTCATCAATGTAAGAGACTCAAATCATTGTATATTACTATTACATGTTAAAACCCACTCAGATTAGACTCCTAATTTTCAGTGGGGGAAATGAGATGGGCCATTTAGAGGATATGTTAACATGTGGACTCAATATAGTTAACTTAAGTCCTAAAGTTCTGTAAAGTCTTTACAGTGCAATTCTGACTCCACACACATAGTGTGACTTCACATGTTAAGTGGAAGTCCTTATAAGGCTGACCTTGCTTTAGACACCATCCTACAAACTCAGGGATTCTCAGGCTGCTCAGGGTTCTACAAATCCAGAGTTCTCATTGCCCCTTCATGTTCAATATCTTGATAGAATGACTAACAGAACTCAAGAAAGTGTTCTACTTACAATTATAGTTTTATTATAAAGGATACAACTCAGAGCCATTCCAATGAAGACATATAGGGAATGGTCTGGAAGAATCCAATGTGAAGCTTCCCCCGTCCCAGGCCATAGATATGTAATTACCAACCAGAAAACTCAGTTGATCATTGGTAGCCATAGTTTTTATAGGGGTTTTATTTCATAGGCATGCATGGTTGATTGAGTCATTATTCAAGTGATCTAACTCAATCTTCAGCCCCTCCATTTCCCAGATGGGGCTGATGTCATGTGGCTCAAAGCCTCAACCCTCTAAGCACATGGTTGATTTTTTCTGATGTGACTGCCCTCTATTTATGAGTCATCGAGTTAGCATAAACTGAGGGGACCACCATGAATAACAAAGACGCTCTAATCACTTGGAAAATTCTAAGGATTTAGAGGTTATCCCCTCTGGACAAGAGACAAAGACCAGCTCAATTCTTTATTATACCAGAGCCACCTATAACCTTCTCCAGGTACTTTAAGGGAGCCATGTTTTCTAAATTTGTGTCACTGGAAGGTCAGCTGTGTATCAAAGGAGTTTTTGCTATGTGAAAAGCTCAAAGAACAGGTATCCTGGACCTCAGATGGGAATTAGAGAGTTTACTTTGGGAAATTCTCACATAAGGTAAATACCTTAATGACAGGTGACTATTTTAGTATTGATATACTAGTTAGAAAAATATATACACCATGGATATTGTAACAGAGTTTAATATTGAGAATTGCTTCTCTAATATGGAGAAATGAAAACTCAAGATGGAAACACAGTGGGTAATACAGTATATAACCCTCAGGACTGGGACAACAAAGGGAAGAGGTTGAAGTCATCTGAAACTAAGAGGGACATCACCTACCTAGTGTTAGTACCTCCATGGCTCAGAGGACAGGCATAAGGAGGATTCCAGACCTCTGGGAATAGGAGTCCACCTGGCTGTAACTTGACCGTGCAAATGTCATTTCTAGGAGACAATTGCTTCTTCCAGGGTGAAAGGTTTTTGCTGGGTCAACACTGACATGAATAGCAGGCAAATATGCCTCTACTTCCCCTACTGGTGGACCCTAACAGGAATGGGTGAATTTGAAGTAGATAGAATTGCTTGTTAATAGGCATGGCAGGTATTTAAAATATTTGATTTAAAATATTTCAGCTCAACAAGTTTAAATATTTAAAAAATATCAGCAGAGCCAGATGCTCTATCCAAGTGGCTTGTTACTGCCTGGTGTCTCTTAGAAGCTCACTGTTCTATGAGCAGATCTGTCTTTGATAGCTCCCTGTAACCTAGCATTTATGTACCAAGTATCCCAGGATGTAAGTTCTACGAGTAGAGATTCAAGTCTGTTTTGTTCTCTGCTCTATCCCCACTGATTAAAATAGTGGAAAGTTAAGTTCAAATATTTATTGAATGGATGTCTTCAATGGATGTTGAATTGGAGATCTCAAGAGCCAAGTGAAAGTTGAAGCATTTAGGACTATGTTTTGCAAATAAATAACAAATGATAGTAGCTTAAAGTTACCACAGTCTCTTTTTCTATGTGAATTAAGCGAAGGCTATAAGAAATAAAACTGCAACTAGGTTGCTTTGATGACTGAAAACCAAGGAGGAAATAGTCTCAATCTTGTAGAGTCAAGCTTTATTTATAGAGATTCAGGACACAGTACAGCCTGAGGGACCCAGCTGTTTTGTCACTGCCTCTGTTCCTGTCATTGTTGTTTCTGAGGATCTTGACACTACCAAGAAGCTTCTTTTTCCTTACCAAATAATTTTGGCTACCCAAGGCTTATATTTGTGCATGGTGTTGAGTTGTTCTTGTCTTATTTTCTGCGGATCTTTCACTTCGTCCTTATTCTAATGTCTTTGCCTCTTTTTCTGTGTAGCTCACTCCATACAAGATTAGATTCAAAGGGTTCAGGAAGACTGTGATAGGGAGCTTTCTTTTGGGCAAAGCTCTGTCATCAGGTCACCTCTTAGCTGTTGGCCATCTGTTTGCTGGTGCCAATCCTGTTGCAATCAGCTGGAGTGAGTATCATGTAATGTGAAGTGGTAATCCATGTGTAAAAAATTCATCAGAGCAGACTATCCATAAAGAGACCAGGCATCTCGCATAGCTTATTTGGTACAGTGACATAATAGTCTAATAAATAGAGAGCAGAATACTGGACTTTCCCCAGAATTCTAAAGTTAACATATCTGAGAAAAACTGAATCAGGGATCAAGAACTCATTCGTGTTCAGGTGCCTACAGTGTTAAAATCTCATGTTCATTTTTCTATAATGCCTCAAAATGGATAAAGTAGTTGTCAACTTGGATTGAAATCATTTTCATTTTAATAGTCTAACTTTCTGTAAAATATCTGGGATAAAGGTAGGCATGGGGAGGCTACATGAAATAACTAGAAAGTCTCATATAGAGCATTCTAAAATTACAAAATATTTCCTCAAATTCTACAAAAAAAATCCTCATTCTTTAACTTGACGTTTTTAAGTTTAAAAAAAATTCTAACTAAACTGATGTTTAACTCCAACAACATAATGGCTTAGATATAATGGTGGCTGCTAAATGTTGTTATCATTCAGATAAATAATTTACATTTATAATGGATTTTGCTTATATGAATTGCTCTGAAAAATTATAGATTTCATTTAAAAGATACTTACTGAAATTACACTAAGGAAGTTTCCATTTCAGCACAGTTTTTCTATTAGATAATGTCATATCACTTTCAATAACTGTCTTTCATTGCTTTAAAATGATGAGCATGCATATGGCTAATTTATATAGAGTTCTTGAAAATGATGCAGACAGTTCAGATTGCCACCTGGTGTCACCTATATCCAGATGTGTGTATTGACTGCAAGAAGGTGACTGTTTCCTGGATGGATCAGAACAGAGAGTTAAGATTCATGGGCAGAGGCTGGGTGTAACTCAGTGGCAGGGTACTTGCCTAGCATGCAGGAGGCCCTGAGTTTGATCCTCAGCACTGCCAAATGAGATGGAGTGATATAATTACTGCATATCATAGGCCATGCAAAGGGTGCTATAACTAGTTCATACTAAAATACATGAACATACAGTTGTCATTTGTTAAGGGAAAATAATGTTTTAGCACAGCTTTCTTATTTTTGAGCAATATTAGATATAACTTAAGATATATTGGTTAAGATTGAGGTTGGGTTCAATAAAAGAGAAACATTACAGGGGCTTACATAAGATAAAAGATTATTTCTATTATATGTAGAAGTCTGGAGATGGGCAATTCTAAGACTGGTATGATAGTTCCCAGAACTTTCGGGATCACAGGCCCTTCCTGATTAGTTTTTTTTTTTTTTTTTTTTTGGCCATGGCTTAGATGCAGTCCTTATCTTTATAGTCCAAGCTCCAGGTATTAATCCACATAGAATTTTTTTAAAAAAGACCTGTAGCTTCATCCTTGTCACCTTGGAAAAGCTGCTAAACTATTAATCACTGTGTGACCCAATGGGGCCACTCCTGGCTTTCTTTATTTAGAAGGCTCATAACCAGTGATAAGTTGGTAAGGCCAAGGATGAGATGTATTCACAGGCATGTTAGAGAGGAAGTGATTCAAGTCATATCTCAAGGAGGGACTAAGCCAAGCATGGCCTATCACTTTAAAGAAATTTCCCAGTGAAGTCACGTATGTCTGCACACATTTCACTGTGAAGAACTTAGTTATGGAGCTGTCCCTAGATACGAGGGAAGCTGAGAATGGAATTTTGGGGTTACGCACATTGTATCTTGCTAAAAATTAGGTTTCTGTTAATATGAGGGAAGGAGCTAATGGAAATTGGAAGGGGAACTAGCAGGTTTCTACCCTCTATTTTCCTTGGTTCCAGGTCAAATGAAAAGGACCAGATTTGTTCCTAAGTGGCTTTTATTCTTGTTCTTTTGCATCTACCACAACACAGAGTTGTCTCCATCTCACACAATTAGGGCACCCAGAAGTTAAATAAAAATGCAAGATTTATTTGATCAGATACTCATTTCTTGCTAATGTGGGCATTTATACTCTTATTTGCTTGAAAGTAATATTTTTCAGTTTGTCAAATCTTAATTTCATTCTTATTTGATTTCAGTATATAAGAAGAGTCTGGGAGATGACATTAGCTCTGAAACATCTGGTGACTTCAGGAAAGCTCTGTTGACTTTGGCAGATGTAAGGTTTTATTTTTTGCTGTTAAATTGTTTAATAAGCTGCATGCTCAATAATAATTCTTAGGGAGTTAAAAAAAAAAACAACCCTGAGACAATGAGATTGCAATTTTCCTTATGAAATGATTCAGTCATGTTTACATTTGCATTGTCAACAAAATGTTTAACCAAGAACATAAAAACACCCATGGTGGTGTAGCAAAATAAAATCTTGTCTGGTTCTGTTTATGGATTAGAAGCATTTTGACTAGATTTCAGAATACATTAGAAAATGTCCTAATAAATCACCTGACATAAAGTAATTGTTTTTCATTTCTGTTATAAGTGTCTCCATTATTAGAATATGCTTATTTCCTTCTGAACTCCAAAGATATTTATTTCTTAGAAGTTAAGTGAGAAGTATGATACATGAGATATTTTCAGATATGGGTATTAAATTCAGAAATGAGTATCAGTTTCAGAATTTTTTTAAAAAAATGACCTGCAGCTTCATCCTTGTCACCTTAGAAAAGCTGCTAAACCATTAATCACTGTGTGACCCAACGGGGCCACTCCTGGCTTTCTTTATTTAGAAAGCTCATAACTTCAGTGATAAAGTTGGTAAGGCCACGGATGAGATATATTCACAGGCATGTTAGAAAGGAAGTAGTTCAAGTCATATCTCACCAACTTCTTTCAGCTGATTTTCACCGCTCCTAATGTGTGAGAAAATCCCAATCATAGCCTCATCCTGACGGCTGAACAGCACTTGTTCAAGTGAGGTATTTTGTCATTAGGGAATATTTATCCTAATTATGGCTTCAATTAAAATGCTGAAAACCTTATGAATATTGAACCCAGCACCCCAAGTTTATGAAGCATTGCTGCAAACATCTGCTCTCAGAGGCATATGAATATGAGCTGATGTACCCACAGGGGATGGTAGAGGAGGGCTCCAGGGCAGGGCTTTAAACTCAGAGCTGAGCTCTCCTCATACCTTCTCACTCTCTGTCTCTGAACAAGTTACTTCAAAAGCTTTTGAGCATTAGTTTTCACATCTGTGAAATTGAAATACTGATAATACCAACCCCTGAGGTGCTGTAAGGAAAAAGAGTATGTGCAATACTTAAAGCATAGAAAGTGATTAATACATGGTGATAATAGTTCCTATTATTAAGGCTAATAAAAATTAGACTTTTATTATTGGAGCAGAGTGCTCAATTGAAAGAGAACAAGAAGAAGGCAAACTAACAGCTGCGGAGGTCAGCCGCATACCAAAGAGATCAGGCAAAAAATCAGACAGGTGTACAAGAACCTAATGTTTGAAAATGGAAACAAAGTCTTAGAGCCAAAAGTTTTGTTCACCTATAATTTTCAAAATAATTCAGGCAATCTGTTTTCCCTTTCTGTTTTTCATCTTTCTATAATGTGCTAAAGTACTTGTTCATAACCGGACATGCACACCTCACTACCGAGTATTCGGTATTAGAGTTGGTAACTCCAAAGTCCAGAGTCATATTTTCTCTCATTTGTGGAAATTAGAGATGAAAAATAAAAAGGGCAGGGGGGGTACCATGAAATAAGTGGGAGACCAGGAGAATAGAAGTAAGGGACCAGGGAAGAGAGGGGGGGAAGGAAAAGGTAAATACTCCCATACACCCTTCTTTCCTGCTCAGTTTTAACAATCTTTTGTTAATGTGGTCCAACTGTTACAGTTGCTGAGTGGATACTGATATGTTATTATTAACTGAAGTCTATGGTTTGCTCTTTTACGGTTCTAAAAAAAAATTTTTTTTGGTACCAGGGATTAAACCCAGGGGCACTTAACCACTGAGTCACATTCCCCAGCCCTTTTTATTATATTTTTGAGACAAAGTCTTCCTAAGGTGCTCAGAGCCTCACTAAATTGCTGAGGCAGGCTTTGAACCTTCAATCCTCCTGCCTCAGCCTCCCAAGCTGCTGGTATCACAGGTGTGCAGCACCATGCCCAGCAATTTCTATGGGTTTTGACAAATGGGTAATCTCATAATCTTCTATTACAGTATCATACAGAATAGTTTCACTGCTCTAAAAGTCCTCTGTGCTCTGCCTGTTTATACCTGCCTCCCCCTTACCCCTGGAAATCACTGATGTTTTGCTATCTCTGTAGTTTTGCCTTTTTTTCAAATGCCCTACAGTTGGAATCATATACTTCATAGTCTTTTCTGACTGGCTTCCTTCACTTAGTTATATGCATTTAAGTTCCCTCCGTATCTGTTCATTTCCAGATGAGTCATGTCTTTTTATCATTGAATGATATTCTATTGTATGGAATATTTGTTTCACTGACTGGAGGACATATTGGTTGTTTGAGGAATTAAAAATAAAACTTCTATTAAACATTTATGTGAAAGTTTTTATGTGGACTTGTTTTCCACTCATTTCAGTAAATATCAAGGTGTGCTATTGTGGTATCATACAGTAAGAATATATTTAGTAATGTAAGAAATTACCAAACTGTCTTCTAAAGTGGCTATACTATTTTACATGCCCACTGGCAATAAGAATCCAAGTTCCTATTGTTCCACATCCTCACCAGTATGTGGTGTTGTCAAAGCTTAGGATTTTAGCCATTCTAATAGATATATGGGGGCATATTACTGTTTTAATTTGCAATTTCCTGATGGAATGTGATGATGAACATTTCTTCCTGTGCTTTCTTGCCGTCTGTACCTTTTTGACAAAGTGTCTGCTCAGATCTTTTTCTCATTTTTTGATTAGGTTGTTTGTTATCTTACTGAGGTTTAAGAGTCCTTTACATATTTAGGACATAAATCCTTTATCAGATATGTTTTGTAAATATTTTCTTGGTGGCTTATCTTTTTTATCTTCTTAACACTTCTGAATATTCAGAGGAGGTTGAAGCCCCCAAATTTATGTGATTTGCTATAGATATTATGACAAGTCAATGGCAAAGCCAGAACTGGAGCTTGGAATCCCCAATTCCTCTCTGTTTCTTGGCCTCTGCTAGAGGAAAACCATCAAGATGTCCTGCTGGTTGGGGTAATGAGTGTTAGAAATCTTCTGTCCTCAAAGGATTGACCTTATTTTAATCATCCCTATTTAGGGTAGAAGAGATGAAAGCCTGAAAGTGGATGAACATCTGGCCAAAAAAGATGCCCAGGTCTGTAACAGAGCAAAGAAAATGTCTCCTTTAACTGTTCTCCCCCTTCCTGTAGACAGGGTGGTACCATCCAGAGCTGTTCACTCCTCTGCTGTCAGGGCAGCAGCCTGGAGACAGGGACTCACCCCACCCCAGCCTCTGCCTTCTCCCACAGAGATGATCATTCCCTTGGCTCCTGCAACCTCCATATTTCTAGTCTGCTAAAAGTGAGAGTCTTAGATAATAGATGATCTCACTGACCTCTAAAAGAAACTAAAGCCCCCACTCCTCTCATCCCACCCCCTGAAAAAGAGAGAGAAGGAATTGTGTCTGTTACGACACATAAGTCTTCTTCTCCTTGTCAATAGATTCTCTATGATGCTGGCGAGAACAAATGGGGCACAGATGAAGATAAATTCACTGAGATCCTGTGTTTAAGGAGCTTTCCTCAACTGAAACTAAGTATGGACTCACAATCCTTTTTGTTTTATATTGTTCTTGCAAAGTTTTTAGGTTCAATATACAGGTTTTGGGAAATGCCGTTAAAAATTATGAACTCTATTCCAGTTTATGTATCAACATTTCAGGAAACAAACCAGGCAAGCTATATTCTAACTCAAGGCAGTGCTCACTGACGCTCCTCTTTGTTTTTCCCTAAAGACCAAGTAGATTACTTAGTGAGTCATGGGAAATAGCTGGTAGAAGGAGATGGAAGAGAAGAAAAGAGAACAGAAAGGCCTGAACAGAAAGGGAAGGAGGAGCCTGGCTTATTGCTGCCACCCCACCTCTCTGTAGTTTGCCACTTTCCAGAAAAACCAAGCATTGCACATGAATTTTTGTTGGTTGATTAATGCTGATTCATGTCCAGCTCTCTCTGATATGAAGGCAAATAGGGGAATGAGGAGGACCAGATCTTTTTGTCAGAGCAACAGTTATGTAGAGCTGCTGAGCACCTACCCTCTCTGCATGCATCTCCCATCTTCTGGCAGCAGCCAGAAGCCTGAACTGCCTTGACCTGTGAACATCTTTGACTGTGGCTTCCAGGTGTCAGGTTAGAGAGCATCCATGGTGCCTGACTAACCTTATGTTGAGCTGTTGGAAAAATGAGGAAACATAAGGTTATTACTATGACTTTTCAACTCTAAAATGAGTCCTTCCTTAATTTTGGCATTAGCTGATTTCAAAATTATAAACTCTGTTCCAGTTTATGTTATAAACTGTTCCAGTAATGGTGGATATATTATAGTTGTTTTATTAATATCTTTGTTTGAAAAACAAAAAATCAAATGAATCCAGATATCTCCCTAAAAGGTTTTTTTTTTTTTTTTCAAAATTTACTTGGAAAAAAATTTACTTGGTTTATAAAATATGCTTGTATACTTGGTGACATATGTACAAGTTTTGCTTGGGGCAAATACTGATCAAGAAATTCAAATGCCTTCTGGTGGATGTAAAAATAGGCCATGCTGCCTTAGGAAATGGTTCACTCAGCACAAAAAAGTCTTTATGATTAAGACTTAAATTATTGAAATCTTAATCATTAATATTTTTTATCAGATAAAACACTGGACTAATGACCACAGAATTATTTCCCAGGGGCTGCTATAATTTTAAAAAGACCATAATTAAATTAATTATAATTTAAACTTTCAGGTAATTTTAAATGTTTCAGCCTGGGAGGAGGGAAGAGAGATCATTGAAGTTCAGATTTTATTGTATTCAAAGGAGTTTTTGATCTTGCTACTTGGTCTGTTGCATAACAAATTTAAAAACTAAATATATTCAAGTGTGGTCAGTTGGGGTACTTTAAATATTTTTGTGGTACTACTTTTTAGCATTTGATGAATACAGAAATATTAGCCAGAAGGACATTGAGGACAGCATTAAAGGAGAATTATCTGGGCATTTTGAAGACTTACTGCTGGCCATAGGTAAGCCCCAGAGTGCTAATAAACAGAATTACTTTGCACTTCTTTTAACTCAGTCAAGGTGAGCTCCTTTCATGTAAGAATCCTGACTGATCATCTTTATGCTCCACACAGCCTCCAGCATAGTCCATGGTAGAAACAATTGACTCAACAAATATTGTTAAATGATGCATGAAGAAGTAATCTTTTTACCTCTTACTTTGCCTTTTAAATTTATATTTGGCTTGTCACTATGTTTAGATTGTAGTCTCCTTAAAAGCTAAAATATTACGTTTCTACTGACATTTTTATTTGAGGCTTGTTGAAATCTAAGACTTAAGCCAATTTGGTATTTCACTGTATTTGGTTATTTTTGAAAGGTGTCAGTGGTCTCCCAGAGTAAAACCAAGGTCAACTTGAGGTCTCTTCTTCTATGGTGGAGTGAGCAGGGGATATGTCAAAAAGAAAGTAAGTTTCAGGCTGGACCTGTTACTATTTAGACACATGCATTAACAGGCAGTCAAAAACACAGTTATATAAGCATGAAGTCTCAGCAGTATGTCCTTTCAGGCACCAGGAAAGAACCTTTCAAGAAAGGTGCATTCAAAGGGATGAGATACTGCTCAAAGAGAGGATTCTTGTATATGTTGAAAGCAGGATTCCTAATTCAACAAGCTTCAGATGTGGGGCTTTCAGGATTTGCTGGATTAATCTATGGATAGCTAAATGGTGCTAGGAGATATGATCTACTTGGAGGAAGGAGGTCAATAGGGGGATGCCCTGGAAGCATTTACAAGTTCCCTGGCACTTTTTCTATGTCTCTGCCTCCCAGTGCCATAAGCTGAGCAGCTTTCCTCTGCCCTGTCCTTCTACCATGACATTCTGCGTCACCTTGGGCCCAGAGCAATGGAAGTCAGCTGACCACAGACTGGAACTTCTAAGATTTGTGAACCCAAAGGAAACTTTTCCTTACTGGGTATTTTGGTCTCAGTGCCAAAAAGCTGACAATACAAGACACTTATGTTTATGGTGGCCACTGGGCTTACCCCGTACTCCTTCTCCATGGTGCCAACACCTGGAACACACATCTTGTTATTTCAGCAGAGAGAAGCAGTTTCTAATGTCCATCACAGTAATTCACAGCACCTCTGGTGACTATGTTCCTATGTTACTAAGTTATTCCAGGGTATTCCACAAGTTATTCCCCTCTGAAGTGGAGCCTAGGATTCATTATTTAGATGTTAATGTTTACCCCTGGAGGGTGAACTCCTAATAGACTAACTTAAATTTTATTTTTAAATAACTTATCATATTCTGGGCACTGTGCCAAACTCTTTATAAATATTAACAAATTTAAGCCTCATAATAATCCTGTGAAGTAGGTACTATTATTATCCCCTTTGTGGAGATGGTAAATCTAAGGCACAAAGAGATTAGGTGACTTCCCCAGGTTACCTGGGAGAGCTGAAATTCTACCTCAGGCCATTAGGATCCATAGTCTGTGATGTGAACCAACCATCTGAGGTGCTACAGTGGAGAAACAGACTGAAACACAGTCTGTGCTATAGTATTTTAAAGTAAATGACAGAAAATGTACTAGAGAACAAGCATCCTCGAAGTTCCAGGCCCCATTCTAAGGGCTTCCTCCACATATGATATTTCACTTCTGTCTTTTCAGTGCCAAGAATAGGGCTCTTTATCCAAATGCTAACTCAAAACAACAACAACAACTTTTAACTCAACTGTTAAAAGATAATCCAAGAAAGGGAAAAACTTTTAATTAAAAAAACTTAAAATCAGTTTTCATAATTAGTTCAGAAAAGGTTCCAGTGACAATGAGGTAGCCAGTTACTTTTTTTTCCCATTTCATACTGTGAATCTTTACATTAATTTTGCTGTTTTGCCTGCTCTTGCTAAACTGTAATATTGGAAAAACTTTCTTGAGATGAACAAACCCTCACTCACTGAGTGTTAATTAGCCCTCTGCCACTGCAACAGAATATCTGAGATAATCAATTTAGAAAAAGGAGAGGTTTATTTTGAGTTTTAGAAGTTTAGTCCATGGTCACTTGGGCCTGTGGCATTACTATATATCATGGTGAGAGTCATGGTGGCAAAGGAGGCCTAATCACCTTATGGCATCTAGAAAGCAAAGAAAGAGAAGGAAGGGGCTGGGGTCCAATAATCCTTCAAGAACACTTAACTTCCTCCCACTAAGATTCCACCACCTCCCAATACTACCATAGCTAGAGACCAGGTCTAACATGTGGGGTTTCAGGGGACATTTCAGATATGAGCTGAGAGGCATTCTTGGAAGTATATATTGAATGGAGAATTAAATTTAGGCCATAATGTACATTATTTTATCAATTAAAATTTTAAAAAGACTTAGAATTCAACAATTCAACTTTTTTTTTTTTTTTTTGTACTATGGATTGAACCCAGGGCACTTTACCACTAAGCTACATCCTAAGTCTTCTTTTCTTTTCTTTTTTTTTTTTTGGAGAGCAGGTTGCCCAGGCTGGCCTTGAAACATGCCATCCTCCTGCCTCAGTCTCCCGAGTCACTAGGACACTAGGATTACAGGCATGCTGCACCATGCTCAACTTCAACTAGTTTAAATTTTGAAATATGTCACATTTTAATTCACTATATCAGAATACAATTGGAATGAAACATTTTTAGAATTTTTTCATTGAAATAATAAATAAATTTTTTGAGATATAATTTACATACCATAAAATTCACCCGAAGTGTGCAATTCAGTAATTTTTAATATATTTACGGAGTTTTGCAATCATCACCACAACCTAAGTTTAAGACATTTTCGTCATCCCTCAAAGAAGCCCTGTACTATTGGCAGTACCCGTTGGCCATCACTCCCCATTCTGCTTACCTTCCAGATTCTGGAAATCATTAATCTGCTTTCTGTCTTCATAAATTTACCTATTCTGGATATTTCGTATTCAAGAAATCTAATACAGTATGTCAGCATATGGTTTTTGGCATGAAACCATCTGAGCATTTCATCTTAGAATTGTATAATAAATAGGAGCCTACTAGTTGTCAAATAAAACCAAATCCAGGCTTAAATAGAGATTTATTCAAAAAGACTCTTACAATAGGGAGAACCCTTTGATCTCAGAAATGTGCAAGAATCTCAAAATCAAGCAGAAATTTCTTCCCTTTTATAAAGAGGATAAGCAGACTTAAGCAGGAATTATTAAGGGTGAATTGGATGAGCAGGGGGTCATGATCATTAAGGTTTGAATGGATGTGTGTCCTGCTTGCTGGATTCTTGGGATAAGCTGATGAGGGGCATGGTCTTCACATTAGTGCATGCCCAGGATTGGGGGCAAGTCAGAGTTGAGGGGCCTATGAGAAGAGAGGCCTGACTGAAGTTTGGTCAAGACAATGAACAGGGTAGGGAAAGGGCAATTGTGAACTCTTGGTTTTAGTAATTAACTTTATTATCCTTCCCAAGTTTCCCTATCTATGCTGTTGGGTGCTAAAAAATACTTCCTTACCACTAAAATATACTGCCACCTCCCCACACTTTCAGACAGGAAGAATAGATCTGGTACTCAAGAACGTAAAGCAGAGAGCAAGCTAAAAGGAGAGAAAGAATTCTGAAAAGAAAGGATTGTACAAATCTAGTTATGGTCTGGGTTGAAAGACTCAATAAGATAAAAGAGGCTATAATGATTTTTGATCAAATTATTAAGATTTACTTAATAAGAGTTTGAGAGAATTTACTTAGCACCAATTCAAATGGCTAGTTTCTTGTCAGACAGCTTCACACACTGAATAGTTTTCAGAGTTGTATTTCCCTTAAATCACTTACCCGAGGTGATTAGAAGACACCAAGGCTTTCCACTCTCTTTAAGAAATTCTGTTAGCCCCTATGAGACAGTCAAGATTTATTCTTGTCCTGAGACCCAAAATCCTTTATAAAAGCCATTCACTTTCTGTGAGTTTACTACCCACAGATCAGATTCAAGATTATAAAAATAATTGTGCTGCAGTAAATAGGTTTGTTCCCTGTAGACTTCTGTTTCTATTTTCACTTTATTTTAAGGATAATTAGTTTGCTCATGTTTTTGGCACTTTCCTATTTCCGGTTTTGTTGCTGCTTTACTTGTTATTTCAAAATAAAGATGTTGAAAGATGATAGTATTTTTTAGATGACAGAATTTAAATTACAGGCACTACCTCTAATGTAGTTACTCCAACCAGCTTATAAATTGTAACTCAATCATTTTAAAAGAAAATACTTCCATGAGAGAAAAAAAAAATGGTTTTAAATTGAACTCTAGTGCCCCTTTTTACCTAATGAGTTATTTGGAGCCACATCTCTGCAGTCGTTAGGCCCAAGTTATTCATCAGTGGCCAAAGATGTTGGGAACTGAGTGATGTACACCCTAGGGAATTATCAGTGTAAGCGTAGGTGTTCAGTGTGTCTGGGATATAGAGATGAGTCAGACACCGTGGGAGTTTCTTTGGCAGGTAATTTTATTTTCCCCATGGCTGAAGATAATTACCATGCTAAAGTTCTGTGCAAATATGACATTATAAAGCTTTGAAATTCGGGTTAAGCAGACTTTCTTTCATTCTAAATAAAAGCCAGTTGTGGGGAGAGGATAGAGTGGTGTAACAATCCCAAGAACCTTCTTTTTAAAAACATATTACCATAGATTAACCCAGTTTCTATTAAATGAAGCCAACCATTGTTTTGCTTTGTATAACAGTTCATTGTGCGAGGAACACACCTGCGTTTTTAGCTGAAAGACTGCATCGAGCTTTGAAGGTAGGTCTGGAAATTTCATACACATTCTTAGCGTTTCTCATGGAGAATATAAAAAAAATTGTTTAATATTGATGGAATGTCATATCCCTTTTCCACTTCACTGAGTTCCCTTTTGTAGCTAATCTGTCTACTAATTTGTCTCATTGTTCAATACAGAGGATTCCAGTTAATATAGAGACAGCTACAGCGAATTGTTGGCTAAATGTTTATTTCCCTCATTACACAATGAGCACAGGCAGTGAGACTCGTTTTAGAATGCCAAACCTCAGACTTAACCCCTGAGATCTGGTGGCTTCTCAAGCAGCCTCACTTAAAATAAACCAGGCTGAGTCAGCAACCTTTACAGAATATTGAAGCCCTGTGTTTTCATGTCTGTCTTTGCTGCTAGATGATGAGCTTCATGAGTCATGTTCTTATGTATCTTCAGGCCCCAGGACAGGGCCTGACACATAAAAGATGCTTACCTTGATTTCTTTACTTGACATTTCCTGCGCTTTCACATGTACCTTCAAAGTAATGTCCAAATAAGCACTTGATTTCTCTCCCCTCACTCTCCCCACTCCCCAAACCTCCCCACTCTGTGTCCAGTCATCTCAGTGGATAACCCCAATAGGAGCTGCCCTTGCCCAGCGCATTGAAAATGGTACCATTCACCCCCAATCTTGTCCAATCCCCTCAGCCTTCTTTCCATTCCCTGACTATGCCAAAGCTACTCCTGCATCCAAGGCTTTGCATTTGTTGTCCTCTCTGCCTGGAATGGCCTTCCTCCAGATCTCTCTGTGGCTCCTTCTCATCTTTTTAGATCTCAGCTCAGATGTCCTCTCCTGGAAGAAGTCTTCCCTGATTATGCTATGTCAGGCGGTTCCCTGTCAGTCCCTCTCCATTCCATTTGTCTGCTTTATTTTCTTCACAGTTCTTATTAACATTTACTTATTCAATTAGGTGATTTGCTTTACTGTATCCACCTATTAGAAATAAGCTGCATGAGGACAGGTATAATCTGTGTTATTGACTGCCATATCCAGAGTATGTGGAACAAAGCCTGGGATACAGCAGATGCTCATAGGCATTTGCCAGATGCATAAATAAATGGAGTCAACACCAACTGAACTGCTCAGCTTAAAATTTTACCCTCTCCTTCTCCATTATCCTTAAGCAATGCATCATTATTTGGTCAATTCCCTTATTAAGCATCTCTCAAACCTTCCCATTTTCTCCATCCTTACTGCCACTATTCTAGTTCAGTTCATCATTGTCTGTATTACCACAGTTATCCCATGGGGGGGTCCCAGAGACTCTAGTTTTATTTTCCCTTGTCTTCATTTTACTCCTGCCTTGCAATCTGTTCCACATATTGCAGTCAAAGCAATCTTCGAATCCACAAATGTGATCTGATCTCAACATTCTTATGCTTAGAATAATGTAATCGTTCTCCACATTTGGGATCCAATTAGAGCTGCATTTCATGGTTAACAAGGACTGGCCTTTCCAGACACATCTCTTGCTATCCTTCCTTGTTGTTGATGTACCCTGGAATGTGGCATTCTTTCTTGACCTAAATGTTCACTTACAATACAGCTTTCATTCTTCTATTAGAACATCCTTTCCTCTATATGAACCCACTCCTATTTCCCCTGGCTGATTATCTAGGCTTCATTACAAATGGCACTTCCTTGGACAGACTTTTCCTAATCTTTAATCTTTCTTATCACTAATGTATACTTCCATGGCACCCAATATTTCCCGTATCAGACCATTTTACAGTGGCCTGCTTTCTTGCCTGTATCCTTTACAAAACTGGAAGTTTACCAGGGATGGCTCCTCTGTTCTTCAGGATTTAGCATGGTTCTGGCACAGAGCAGGGGCTCAATAAATATTTGTTGAATAAATGAATGGTGGAGTTTGGTGGTAAATAAATGAAGAAGAATCACTTTGTGCACATATAGTTTATAGATATAAACATAGATCTACATAACATTTTGTGACCCAGGGGATATGCATTGTCAACACCTGCCTTTCTTAACAGGGTGCTGGAACTGATGAGTTTACCCTCAACCGAATAATGGTTTCCAGATCTGAAACCGACCTTTTGGACATTCGAGCAGAGTTCAAGAAGCATTATGGCTATTCCCTATACTCAGCAATTAAAGTAAGTTTCTGCTAAAAATAGCCAATGTCTTTTGCCCTTCTTGATTCATCCTCTTTCTCTAATATCACTTAAAACACAAAGATATATGACTTAAATTTATTTCTTCTTGTCAACGTGTAAATGTGTTTTTTGAATTTAAAATAATTATAGCAAAATGTCCTTAAACATAGTGTCTGATTTTTCAGCTGTAAAATTCCAGGTGTCTGATAGACAACACTTCCTTTTTTCCTTTTTCTTTTCTTGTGTGTGTGTATGTGTGTGTGTGTGTGTGTGTGTGTGTGTGTGTTTTACTGGATTTTGAACAAAAGGCCTCCCCCATGCATGCTAGGCAAGCACTCTACCACTGAGCTACATCCCCAGCCCCTCTCATCAAATTTTTAGGTGTACTGGCCATCAATTTTTCTTCCTTAGTGAAACACATGTGCAAGTTGTTTGCCTATTACTTATACTGCAATGTTTTTACTTAGTTCAGTGTTTAGGACAATGTAAGGGAAAATTACATATTTTAAATTTCCTCTTTGTGGGCTCGGGTGTATCTCAGTGGTACAGTGCTTGCCTAGCACATGCAAGGTCCCAGCACCACAAACAACAATGACAACAACAATACATTTCTTCTTTGTTGTATACTAAAGACGGCATGGTTCTGCAGCGTCAGTTCTTTTCATTGCAGAGGTGAGACACTTTCTCATTTTTAACAGTTGTATATCATCCCATTGTTTGAGTATTTGTACCAATGACATCAACAGATGTTTCCGATTCCATGCTGTTATAAACAGTGTTGCAATGTGCACACATGATTTCATAAGGCACAAGTGTGTCAGAGGTGTAAATTCTCAGAAGCAGGATTGCTTAGACAAATGTAAGTGCATTTTTAAATTTTGGTAAATGTTACCACTTGACCTCCATTTTCCACTTCTAAGAAGAAATTGTTTCACTACAGCCTTGGAACAGAAAGTTATTTTTGACCCACAACCAAACTTTTTTTTGTTGTAACAATCTGAGAGGTTAGGAATTTATATCTTCAGTGTAGTTTCAAAGTACTTTTTTTTTTTTTATCCTGGGTGTGAGACTGAACATGTTTTCATGTTTAAAATGCCATTGGTATTTCTTTTTCTATGCTGTATCTCTCTATATTCTTTGTCCCTCTTCTTTTGGATTTTGTTACTTTGGGTCCATTTCTGAGAATTTTTTTTTGGTACCAAGAATTGAACTCAGGAGCACTTGACCACTGAGCCACATCCCCGGCCCTATTTGTATTTTATTTAGAGACAGGGTCTCACTGAGTTGCTTAGTACCTCACTATTGCTGAGGCTGGCTTTGAATTCGTGATCCTCCTGCCTCAGTCTCCTGAGCCACTGGGATTACAAGCCACTGAGACTTCTTTTTATGGAAGGTGGATTAGCCTTTTATCTTATAAATATTTTCCCCAATTTGTTATTTGATCTTTTACTTGACTGGAGGTATTTTTTCCAAGCAGAAGTCTTAAATTTTATTTCATTGAATTTATCAAATTTTTATAGTTTCTTGGTTTTTTAAGCAGATTGGTCTATTGTATTTCTACTGTTTTGGAGAACAACCTTTCTAAAATGTGTTATACTGCTTCCTATTTTAAAGAATGAATCTGATTTTCATTGTTTTCAGATCTCAGTTTATATAATTATATACATAGGAAGATCAAATAAATTGCAAATTAATTATAATTTAATGAGGAAGTAAGACTGGCAAAATATGTGCAAGAAGCTTCCATACCTTAAGGCCATGGTTGAAAGACATAGGAACATGGCAACTGGTAAATAAATGGCAAACTAAGGGATTAGCCACAGACTTGCTGACAGTCTTATTTTGATTCATTTTTCTACCTTGGCCCCCACATGACATATGAAAGACTTCAGAGTCTCAGTACAAGCTGATTTGCTGGAAGAAAGTGAAGCTGAAATTGAGCCAGGCTGCTCAACCATCCCAATCATCAGGGCCTAACTGACTAGATAGGATAGAATCCAGGGCTGGCTTCCTGCAGGCTGCATGGCTTCCTTGCGTCTGCTTCCCCATCCTCCCTCTAAAAATCTTCATTGGAGAGCTGGACCCAGGTGGATTCCCCAAGGACCAAGCTGGGGTTTGGGGCCCACAGGGGAAGCTAAGAAGGAAGCAGCAGCCCAGCAGCCAGAGCCCAGAGGAGAGCATTCACTCTTGAGCATTGAAAGTCCAAAGCTGGGAGTGGAATCATGCTCTCCAGACACCCAGTTTCAGATGACGATCATTTGTAAACTATGTGCGGATTCTGACCCTGGTTAGCCCCTCTGCAGCTATCTCTTCTCAATTCCCTAGGAGGGTGGAGTCCCCTTCCTTGTGGGAGATGATACCTAAACATGGCCACCAGTGATGCCTGGCTTAAAGCATGTTCCAGTGTCACTGTGAGCAGCTGTGACCTTACCCAAGATAGCCTCCCTTGAACAGATGCAAACATTGGCCTGGCCAGGCCTCTCCACAGCCATCTTGAGAGCATTCCTGCTTCGGAGTCCACAAATGGCTTTTTAATGAAGAATGAATTAACATAATCAGTTTTTTTTTCAACATTTTTTTTATTATTATTTTAAGCCCTAGCCTTTGTGTTTACACCAAACGAAAAGTTTAGTTGACATGAAAGGCAGACTTGAGTCCTACTGCTCTAAGAAATGCTGTTGACCTGAAAGCTGAAATCAGGAACTTTAAAAAGCAACTGACTCTGCCTGGGGCTTAGCACAGATTTCATCAACTATTCACTCTCAATTCTATTTGAATCGATCCTGACACATTACAATAGTTTCAATCATCAGAGGAAGATTCAATAATGTTAACCATATTGTACTTACTAAGGCAGAAAAGTAGACTCATACATTTTATAACAATTGTCAGTAACAAGGTTGACACACAAAGAGGGCTTTCAGTTCACCATCAGCAAACCAGAAAATTCAATTAAGCAACGGCTCTCAGTCCCCCAGTGGTCTGGGTAATTGAGACTTATTGTATTAGAAAACATTTAAACTGTTTGTAGTTTGATAAAAAGAAAAATCCATCACTGAAAAGTTCAGTTTGTGATTTGAAATAATATAAATCCTTTCATTTCTACCACCTCATGTACATTATTGGCTAATCTTATTATGTTTTTCTTACCGACAAGCAGGATCTTTTAAGATGGTTAAGTTTCTGAAATCCAGGAGGCAGAGTTCCACTTCATTTTTTGTCCAAGCCTTTAATTCAGTTTTCTCCCTTCCTCAATACTCTAAATATTTTTCTACTTACTAACACCTTTCTTATGTGATGGTTGATGGAAAGGAAAGGAAGAACAGATGTTAAAAAAAAAAAAGCAAATTTGTATCTTCTTTTACTTAACAAGAAGATGTTAGTGGAAAATTTGATTGAATTACATTTGGTCAGTAAATTATGTACCTATCTAATAAATATGGCTCCTTAATGGAAAATACAGTAGCTACCCTCAGTAAACTCATAACCTATGTGGAGGCTTGTAGTAGGCATAAAAAATTACATGACAATTGAAACAACATGCAACTAAGTATCAGTAAAGAGAGAAATATAGGAACTGAGAGAAGTTTGGGGCTAGACAGGGAATATTTCTTGGAACAGACAGTGTCTGCTGCCTCTCTGTTCGACAGCATGCACTGAGTATCTCCTATGGGCCAGCTGTTCTGCTGGTCAACATGGTTCCAAGATGAACATTCTGGAAACACAACTATAATGAGAGGCAGGAGGAAAAGAAGCGATAAGGCATTTACTTGATTAGAGTCTATGTCAGGCAATATTAAGAAATAAAATCCAAGTGCCAAGATGAGTTCAGTTATAAAGAGCTTTGAAATCAGGGAATTTGTATTACATTCATTCAGTTTAAAATATCTATTAGATGCATGTAATATGCCAGGTTTAGGGTTACAATTCTAGGGAAGGAACTATATTTCCTGTTATAATTATAAATAAATGTAAAATCACGACTATGGTACTATGAGGGAAAGAGATATTGTGCTATAAGATCACATAACACAAGAGCTTGACTGACAGGAAAGGCTTCTCTGAGGAAATTCTTATTCTGATCTGATAAATGATAATAACAAGGCTGAAGGCTATGGAGGTAGGGCATTCTAATAAAAGGAATTGCAAATGAAAAGATCTCATGGGTGAGATATTTTGATCATAATGAAAAATGAGGATAAAAGAACCAGATCATGCAGGAACTTTTTGATAATGTTTAAGGATGTGTGTCTTCAGCTGAAGAGTAATGAGAAGCTAGCTAGCAAAGAGTTTTATGCAAGACAGGGTCATAAGCATTGAAAAGATCCCTGTGACTATGGAGAATGAATTGAACATGAGCTAGAAGAGATGGAGAATGTGAGTTAGGACAGTCATATTCTAGTAGCTGTGGGTTGGTTGCAAAGAAAGGAAAGGCAAGGATTCGAAAGATTTTTAGTAGATACAACTTGAGGGACTCGGTTTGATATCTTGGTGTGAGGAGTGAGGAACAGGTACCAAGGATGACACCCAGGATTCTAAGTCAGGAAGCAGAATGTGTTGCCATTTCCCAGAAGAGGGTCAGGTCTTATGGCTTCCTCTTTCTGGGGAGTGGGAGAAAGTTCATGAGTCTGAGATGCCTTTGGAACATGTAAGTTGAAATGTCCACAAGACTGATAGTGGACTTTGATGAGATAGACTTTGAAAATGAAATATGTCCCTTTAGGAAGAAAATATAGAATGAGAGGAGAAGAAAGCTTAGAATTGAGCTTTAACCTTCACTAACATCTAATGGCTGGCTAGAAGAGGAGGAGTCTGTGAAGGAGAGGAAGCTAGGCCAGGCCTGCGTGTAGAAAGAACAGCACTCAAGGGAAGAAAATGTTTCCAAGACAAAATGAACAGGATGCTATGTCCTGCTGACAGAAAAGTAAGATGAGGGCTAGGAAAATGTTTTTACTCTTGACGGGTATGCTGGTCATGGCACTTGATTTACAAATATAGTAATTAACACCTTGGGTAGAGCTTAATGAATCTGTAGTCACACTAGTGACAAGAGATGAAAACCTAGATTAGATTTGCCGTGGTCAGTTTTGGAAAAGGAATAAACTCTAAAATACCACAATGAAAGAATTGGCAGGATTGATGAAGTGTGAAGAGTGAAAGATGGGCTCAAAGTTGGGAGAAGAGAGAACCATGGTACACAGGCCCACAGAAGCATTTAGTTAGTTTCTTAAGAAAAATAAATATGGCCTAAACCAGGCATGGTGGTGCATGCCTATAATTCCAGTGACTCAGGAAGCTGAGGCAGGAGGATCACAAATTCAAGGTCAACCTAGGCAACTCAGCGAAACCCTGTCTCAAAATGAAAAATACAAAGAGCTGGGGATGTTAGTTCAGAGATAAAGTGCCCCCAGGTTCAATCCCCGAAACAAAAAAAAAAAAAAAGAAAAAGAACAATTATTATGACCTAATTAGAAAGGTATAAATTAGGTTACTCTCATAATTTATGCATATATTTGTTTTTCTCTATTGGTTCTGTTCTTTGCAGTCAGATACTTCTGGGGACTATGAAATCACACTCATAAAGATCTGTGGAGGAGATGACTGAGTCAAGAAGATAATCTCTGAAAGTCACCTGCTCCCAAGGTGGACTTCTCCAATAGCTCTGCTTGCTTCTTTCTCATAGTATTTAAAAGTACAAACAAGTGTAAAATAGCAACTTATTTGCCTAACAGAAATTTTCATTGTTTCATAGCAACAATAACAGCTTATTATTTTAGAGCATCTCATTTATAATGTAATTTTTAAAAATAAATAAATGAAATCTATCAAGTGGTATTAAGGATCTGCTAATACTATCCAAACTATATTTCTGCTTAGGAAGTCAGAATCTTCATATAGATTTAAACCACTGCATATAAAGCAGGGTAATAAAAATCACTGCCTTTGTTAAATGTATGTAATTTGTCTATTTCTTTTTAAAGTCTACCAATATGTATGGTACCTAGGCTATCGACTAATGGTATTTTAAAACATTTGTTATAAAATCTGTTGATGCTTTAGTTTATCTATTACTTTATTAATCACAGTCTTTAAAAAACTAAAAATAAAGATGTATGTGACTCTGTCCTAACCTTTCAAGTTCTGGGAGTTTCAATGCCTAAGTTCTTTCAGACCACAGAGTACTTAAGCTAATGTCTCTGAAGTGCTTATCCCTGTGCCAAACCATATCTAAACTGTAGCAGGTGGGAAGGAAGAATATACAGGAGAAGAAAGCTAGACGCAGGGAACCCACTTAGCAAGTTAGTTCTATAATCAATACCTAAAATGTGACTTGAATAAGATGATGGTAAGGGAGAATTAAAAAAAAACCCACTCAAATATTTAGGAGGAAAAAAAATGGAGTAAACATGGTAATTGAAGTCATCAGGTATCAAGTATGCCCCTACAATTTTTTCTTAAGTGATTTAGTAAATGTGTGTATCCCCAAGGAATAAAGTAGTGCTTATACTCACTGACATTGTTGGAATTCAAGTGCTGTTAGTTAATACGTCCAAGCACACCAAAATGATCATGACAGCACTGCAGGCATTTCTGAGTAGACTTCAGCTCACCTACCACACACCAAGCCTGTGTTGAGTAAGTGTTAGATGCAAAAAAGACACTGAGACACATTTTCTTTTTCCAGGGAAATTTAAGTCTGTTTAGGAAGACCTGCAAGCCAATAAATGTAGCAAGCCCAGTGTGTACTGAACACTCCCAGGGAAATGACATTGTGGACAGGAAGCAGAAATTCAGCCTTTTGAAGGTTACAAACTCAACCAATAGAAAAGAAAGTAGGAACTCCACACAGATGAAAGCACTTGCAGGTATAGAGCTATGAACTTTCATGGTGTGTGCACAGCTTCACCAAAACATTGGTGTGGTTGAGGCTTGGAGTACAGGTAAGGTGAATAAGCAAGGGTCAGATTATTAAGCAAGGAGGAGTCATGGGAGGAACATTCTAGGAGGATTGCAGTTAGGGAAATGACAAGGTGTTGTCAAAATTTAATTGATTAGAGGACACATTAACCCATTTTACATTATTGTAGCAAAATACCTAAGGCTAGATGATTTTATAAAGAGAAGAGGTTTATTTAGCTCATAGTTATGAAGATTTATATGTCCACATCTGGTGATGGCCTCTTTGCCCAGGGAAGCTCAGGGCATCACATAGCAAGAGACAGGGAACTCTCTCTTCTTCCTCACATAAAGCCACAGTATTTAATTATAAGGGGCTCAACCCTGATGACCTCATCTAATCCTTATCACTCCTAAAGGTTCCACCTCTAAACACTTACTAAATTTCTGCTTTTCTTAATACCTCAGAACAGGAATTTCATTTCAACACATGGAGGTGAGCTGTAGCTCAGTGGTTGAAGTATGTGCTTAGAATGCACAAAGCCCTGGGTTCAATCCCCAGCACCACACAAACACACACTAAAGTTCAGCACATGAACCCTTGGGAACGTACTTAACCATATACAAACCATGGCAGGTTGGAATGAAGAAGGTATTGGAGAAGAAAGATAGAGTCAGGGAACCCACTTAGCAACCCACTTAACTAACTTAGCAAGTTAGTTCTATAATCAGTATTAGAAATGTCACTGAAGTAAGATGATGATAAGGAAGCACAACAACAACAAAAATCCTCAATATTTCAGAGACAAAATTGAGCAAACACTGATCCAAAGTCATCATGTATCAAGAATGCTCCTACAATTTTGTCTTAAGTAACGTGGTAAATGCATCTGTCACCAAGGAATAAATCAATAAATATTCACTGAGTGCTTACTCTGTGTCAGGTACAATGTTCAACAGTGTAGTTGATTTTATTTTATTTAGAAGGATTCTTACTCCTTTGCCCCATCTGATCTCAAACTTCTAGCCTCAAAAGATCCTCCTGCCTTGGTCTCCTAAGTAGCTGGTACTGTAGGCATGCACCACCACACCTGACCAGTATAATCTATTTTAAATTGCTAAACTTCAAGCAACCTTACAATATAAGTACTAACTCACAGTACAGAAATGGAGCTTAGAGAAAGGAAATGGTTTTGCCTTCAGAAGAGTCAGGATCTAATCACAAGTAGCCTCACTCCTTTGTCCCAGCTCTGAACCACTATTTGGCCTTAGGATTTTTCCATTCCAGGGTCACTGTTCTTTTCAATCCCAGAATGTGAGCTGCTTGACAGCAGGGATTTTTGTCTGTTTCGTCACTGCTGTGTCCCTGGTGCTTGAAATAGTGCTCAGCATGTAAAAGCCACATGAGAAATCTTTGTCGAATGAATGAGATTCTTTTTATTCTAAGCATTTGAACTATGCAAGTGAATTTGAGTGGCTATTTAAACATGTAATTATACCTCACTTTCCTAGGTGGAGAGCCTTGGTGAAAATTTTATCCATGTACAAAGTACTCTTTCCAAGCTACCCATCACTAACAAGAGAAATATTGTAAGCTGGCCAGGATATTGGAACTTTTTGGAGAAGCAACAAGTTTAAATGCATATGGGATTCCCTTTATGTAACATTAAGTCAAACTCCTAAAAGGGCATTGCAAAGTATTAACTCAACCTTGGCCACATTGTTCAGAGTTGTGGAGAAGGACTCTCTATCCCTGTAGATTTTAACATTAATTGTTCTCTTTTCTCCTGGGAAAAAAATGTTTTGTACCAGTAGAGCTTCCCCACATTTCTTCCTTCCTTCCCCCCTGACCCATCCTGGCTCCCTCCCTCATTCGCCTCCTCTCTCTTCCCTCTGGCTGTCTACCCCTTATGCATTCTTAACAATAGGGTGCCCCATGATGGCCACAGAAGTAGCCTTTATCTCCATAGAAAGGGATGAACCACTAAGCTGTTCTGAATGTCCATGTATACATTGATATCTCTAAATTCCATCGTAGTAGGTGCCCAGTAAATATTCACGGTAGTGATTTATAAGGCAAGGTAGAAGAACTTTCCTGCCAGCCAGACCAGAGTGTTTTAAGGAGCACAGGAAATACTGATAGGAATAACCTTGAAAAGTATCAAATGCTATTAAAATGTAATACACAATTACAGTATTGTATTAGAATATTTTAGCTTTTATTTTAAATTTGAATTGAGGCCTGGGCATGTTGGTACATGCCTGTAATCCCAGTGGCTCCAGAGACTGAGGCAAGAGGATTAAGAGTTCAAAGTCAGCCTCAGCAAAAGTGAGGCACTAAGCAACTCAGTGAGACCTTGTCTCCAAATAAAATACAAAATAGGGCTTGGGATGTGGCTTAGTGATCAAGTGCCCCTGAGTTCAATCTCCGGTACCCTCCAACCCCAAAAAAAGGGCTGAACATGTAACTCAGTTTTTAAGCACCCCTTGGTTCAATCCCTGGTACCCCCCCCCCAAAAAAAAAATCGAATTGAGAACTTTCTATATATTCCAAATACTGTGCTAGATATCTTAGATTTCATATATCACTTATTGTAAACATGTTCTGAAACAAAGCATAGTTATGTGTCAATATATCCCCATTTTATGAATAAGGAAAATGAGAGTTGGAAACCTTAGATAACTAGTCCAACATTGTAAAGTAGGGAAGCCCAGGTTTAGGATTCGGTTCAGTTGAACTTTAAACTTATTTGTGCATGAGTGAGAATGTGAAGGGAGTCGTGATCATGTGAGAGAACAACAGAAAGAAAAACAACAGAGATAATCAGAGGAAACCCAGGAAGCTCTCCTCCTCCAACCCTTCTATTCATCTTTCCTGAGATACTCTGGACCAGCTGGAGCTGCTGAAAGCCTATTTCTGATTATTCTGATAGGATGAAGCTATTTAAAGACAACTGTTAATGATCCTTTTGAAGAACTACTTTTTAAAATACGTAAACACCTGTCTGAATAAGAGGGACAGTATATAGCACAGGAGCAGTTCCAAGGTTAAGTTCATGGGCCTTGGGGTCAGGATGCCCAGATCTGTTGACTTCAGACAAATTATCCTTTGAAGCCACGTATTCCTCACCTTTAAAATGGGGACAGTAATAGTACCTACTTTGAAGGTATGAATATATATATATAAAAGAGAAAACATTTAAAAGGTTTGCAGCTCAGTTAATAACCTCAGTAAATGTTCTCTTAAGCCAAACATAGGACTCTAGGTGTATGCCACCTAGAGTCCCAGCTACTTATTTGTAAAATTTTAATTCTAAAATTTTTATTTTAATTGTAAGACAAACTTACAAGGTAGGTACTACTATTACTGAGGAGGCTGAGATGGGAGGGTCACTTGAACCCAGGAGTTTGAGACCCAGCCTGGGATATATAGTGAGATCCTGTCTCATAAACAAAGAAAGAAAATAAATATTAGCCTATATGATATTATTATTATAGTGTATCATTCAAGGGCCATGTTTTTAGTGCCTCCAATTTCCACAAGGTGGCAGGTCAACTTCAAAGTGCACCCCATGGCTTTGTGTCCAAATGGCAAAGTCTACTTTACTTGCTTCAGAATAACTGGTCTAAATATGAACTGTTTGAATCATCTTCTTTAGGAGATTTGTCACGATCCAGGCATCTAATTGTCACTGTAAACTCTTTCTTAATGGAACCTGAAGATCCTTTAATTTAATCCTCTGGCTTCTCAGGATTCCCAGGACCATCTGCGTTTACATGAAGTATATGTTAACTGCCACAGATAATTGCATAAGTGAGTGCACTCAGATCAGCTTGATAAACACTAAGTTTAGTCCCTGAAGACAATGAAGGAGAAAAATCATGAGCTGGGAAGAATCCTGGGCTCTGTGATTGGCAAACTGCAGAAGATAAGAGATTTGTGCCTCTTGTTGTAGAGTAATAGAATGTTTGGTCTATAAATCAGGAGTTGCAAAAAAATGGCAAATGAAGACACTGAATAGAAGATTCTCTAGCCTATTTGTGAGGGCAATTTGAAGAAAATGTTTAAATCATATAATTTATATTTTTATTCTGTGTGTACTCTCCTTTCTATATTTCTATAAAAATTGTGTATCACATCAATAACCCCCAATTTGTGCATTGCTTTTTTGGGTCAGATCAAAGTGCATTCAAATTCTGGCTTCCCTACTTATATACCAGTCTGTATAGCAA